GCGCTAGGTTCCTAGAACTGTTTTTAGAGATGGTTGGGAGCCACCATGTGGGCGCCGGGAACAGAACCTGGGTCCTCTGCAAGATCAACCTCTCTTAGCCGCTTAACTTCAAATTCCTTATATAGCCTGATGTTCCTGCCTCACCCTGGAATTTAAGGCTGCACCCACACCTAGGTCAGATCTACACCAAGACTTCTGAATACTGGGGAAATAGTACCCTACCAATTGAGCTACATCCTTAGCTCTGTTCTCTTAGTGGTTCCAAATGGTTAATAAAAAACTACCAGGAAAGGTAAATTGCTGACCTAAAAAATGGGTAAGTGTTTTTTCCCCTCCCAGACAGGATTTTTCTGTAGTCCTGGCTGTCCTGGAACTCAGATCTACCTGCCTCTGCCTCCCGAGTACTAGGATTAAATGCATGTGCTACCACCACTGCCTAGTGGGTAATTTATTTATACTTAAGAACATTCCAGATATCAGGAAGAAGTATAGAGGCTAGGAAGCAGGATAAAAGATATATCCAAGGAGTATAAAGACTATAGGTGACAAGCTAGGGAGAAAATACTTGAAGGTGAACTATTCTCCCTTTTTTGAGACAGACTATGTAGCCTTGGCTTTTATTACTTTTCACTAAATACCCTTAAATCTGACTCTGAGCTGGGCATTTTTCAGGCTAACTGCAGAAATTGGAACTCTCCCAAGTTCCCTCACAACATTCCATAGCTTCTCAGAAAATACACAGTTTAAGTAGCTTCTTCTGACTGACCACAAAAGAACCTTCATTTTCTTATGCTTCTCTTAACTCAGCCTTAATTGAGAGATGCAGTAGTGGTTACGTGATATCCACAGGTAGAATGATGCACAGTTATTTTTACTAGTTATTTTAGTTAGTTGTTTGGAGACAGTATCACAAACTGTGGCCCAGACTAACCTGGAGCTCACTGTCTGTCCTAAGCTGCTCTCAGCAGAGTGTCTTGATTATAGGTGTGCACCAATTCAAGACTGAATTTTGTTTTTTTGTTTTTTTGGTTTTTTGAGACAGGGTTTCTCTGTGGCTTTGGACTGAATTTTGAACCAACAGGCATGGTGCTGCGTTTGGAGGTGGTGGCAGGAGACTCAGAAGTTTGAAGTCATTCTCAGCTCTGTAATAAATTGCAGGCCATCCTGAATTACATGAGCCCTTCCTTGTCTCAAAAAAAATCAAAATAAATTTGAATTTTGCGAGCAGAGAGTATAATTCAGTGGTGGATCACTTGTCTATCATGTACAAAATAATGAGTTTTATTCCCAGTGTCACAAAAATGAATTTTGTATTAATTGTAGATTTGAGAAAATATGCAATACATTTTTTACTCTGTTTTATAACTTTCTGGATATAATTCTTTATGCCAACTTTAGTTTCTTGTAAAGCTATGGTATATTGTAACAATCAGTATATTGACACAGATAAACATCAAGATATATAAAAGGGTCTTTTCTATTTGCTCTGTCATGACTACATCTATTTTTCTCCTCCTGTCTTTCAATGGTTTTCTTTTTATATTGACTTTATCTGGTTTTAGTATCTGAGTAATGCTGGCCTCGATAAAATTGAATTGGAACCTGTTTTCTTATCTGTTTCTGGAAGATTGTAAAATTAGCATTAATTCTCTCGCAGATTAAGCTTAGTATTAGTTGCCTAATTTTTTATTTAATTTTTCCATATGATGATCCTCCCCACCTCCCTACCTACACAGTTGTTTCTGTTGGCCATCTTAGAGGTTTATCAATAGATATTGATTTTTATCATATAAACTAGCTTTTGGTTTTGTTGATGTTTCTTCCTTTTTCTCTTAAGTCTTTAAATTTTTTATTTTATTTTTTTAATTTTATTATATATACAATATTCTGCCTGCATGTATTCCTGTGGGACAGAAGACAGCACCAGATCTCATTACAGATGGTTATGAGCCACCATGTGGTTGCTGGGAATTGAACTCAGGACCTCTGGAAGAGCAGCTAGTGCTTTTTATCCTCTGAGCCATCTCGCCAGCGACTTTTATTATTTTTTAGACAGGGTCTCTTTCTTTTTATGTAACTATCCTGCCTTTAAAATCACCATTACCCTTCCTTGATGTCCTTCGCCCTGGAATTGTAGGTACACACCACCAACACTAGCCTGGTTTTGTCATTTTTAATTATAAGGTTTTTGTTTGTTATTTGTGTGTTCACACATACACAGAGGACAACTTTGTGAAATTGGTTTCTCTTACTCCCCTTTTACATGGATTCCAGGGATTGAACTTGGATCATGAGAGTCACACACAAGCACTTTACCTATTGAGCATCCCTCCCTCCCCTTTATTTTTAGATGTTTTTATTGGTAGGAAACCAAGGATCAGCATAATTTTTTCATTCTTTTGTAAAATATAGTCTACTTAATAGAGTAGTGTACTTTTGGATTTTTCAAAAAATATTTATCTTTACAAAGATTTTTATTTTGTATGTGAATGTTTGCCTGTATGTGTATATGCACACTACATGTATATAGTTCCCACTGGAGCTGGAGTAACAGCTGGTTGCAAGCCATCTGACATGGTGCTAGGAACTGAACTCAGTCTCTTCAGCCCCAATATTTATTTTGTGTAATCAAGTGTGTTTGTGTAAGAGTATGTACATATTAGTACAGGTGTCTGTCCAAAGGTGTCAGAGCCCCTGGAGTTGGAGTTAGAGGTGATTGTGAACCCTCTGAAGTCATGTCCCCTGGAAGAGCAATTCATGTTCTTAAAGACTAACTCATCCCTCCAGACCACTTTGCAGTTCTTATTAAACAAGACTTTCTACTTAGGTCAGAGTAGTTAGCACAGAATGAGATCAGGGCCTGCATCTGTTTCATTCACTATTGCATATTCCTAGTAGAGTACCTTAGTTTTAGCATGAGTATTTATGTTTGAACTGTCGCTATGGTAGGGAAGATGCTGTCTTCTCTATACAGCATCAGTACTAGAGTAGTCACCATTGAGAACACATTTGATACCATATCTGATGGCCACCATATGAAGTTATATGGTGCAGTTGCTTTTTTATTTTTTATTGATATTTATTGACTTCTACATTTTTCTCTGCTCCCCTCCCTGCCTCTCCCTTTCCCCTTCAATCCTCCCCCAAGGTCCCCATGCTTCCAATTTACTCAGGAGATCTTGTCTTTTTTTATTTTCTACTTCCTATGTAGATTATATCTATGTAGTCTCTCTTAGTATCCGCATTGTTGTCTGGGACTGTGGTTTGTAGGCTGGTTTTCTTTGCTTTATGTTTAAAAATCACCTCTGAGTGAGTACATGTGATAATTGTCTTTCTGTGTCTGGATTACCTCACTCAAAATAATGTTTTTTAGCTCCATCCATTTTCCTGCAAAATTCAAGCTGTCGTTATTTTTTTCTGCTGAGTAGTACTTCATTGTGTAAATGTACCACATTTTTTTTATCCATTCTTCGATCGAGGGACATTTAGGTTGTTTCCAGGTTCTGGCTATGACAAACAAAGCTGCTATGAACATAGTTGAGCACATGTCCTTGTGGCACAAGTGAGCATCCTTTGGATATATATCCCAAAGTGGTATTACTGGATCTTGAGGAAGGTTGTTTCCTAATTTTCTGAGAAATTGCCACACTGACATCCAAAGGGGTTGTACCAACTTGCATTCCCACCAGCAATGCAGAAGTGTTCCCTTTTCCCCACAACCTCTCCAGCATAAGTTGTCTTCAGTGTTTTTGATTTTGGCCATTCTTACAGGTGTAAGATGGAATCTCAGAGTTGTTTTGATTTGCATTTCTCTGATGACTAAGGATATTGAACATTTCCTTAAGTGTCTTTCAGCCATTTTAGATTCCTCTGTTGAGAGTTCTTTGTTTAGGTCTGTACTTCATTTTTTTATTGGATTATGTGATCTTTTGGTGTCTAATTTCTTGTTCTTTGTATATTTTGGAGATCAGACCTCTGTCTGATGTGGGGTTAGTGAAGATCTTTTCCCATTCTGTAGGCTGTTGGTTTTTTTGTCTTGTTGACCACATCCTTTGCTTTACAGAAGCTTTTCAGTTTCAGGAAGTCACATTTATTAATTGTTTCTCTCAATGTTTGTGCTACTGGGGTTATATTTAGGAAGTAGTCTCCTGTGCCAATGCGTTTAAGTGTGCTTTCCACTTTCTCTTCTATGAGGTTCAGTGTGGCTGGCTTTATGTTGAGGTCTTTGATCCATCTGGACTTGAGTTTTGTGCATGGTGATAGATCTGTTTTCATTCTTCTGCATGTTGATATCCAGTTATGCTAGCACCACTTATTAAATATGCTTTCTTTTTTCCATTTGATATTTTTTGCTTCTTTATCAAAGATTAAGTGTTCAGGGGGAGGGAGGGCTGGAGAGATGGCTCAGAGGTTAAGAGCATTGCCTGCTCTTCCAAAGGTCCTGAGTTCAATTCCCAGCAACCAAATGGTGGCTCACAACCATCTGTAATGAAGTCTGGTGCCCTCTTCAGGCATGCACGCAGACAGAATATTTTATACATAATAAATAAATTAATTAAATAAATAATAAAGATCAGGTGTTTGAAGATATGTGGATTGATTTCTGGGTCTTCTATTCAGTGCCATTCTTATGCCAATACCAGGCTGTTTTCAGTACTGTAGCTCTGTATAGAGTTTGAAGTCAGGGATTGTGATGCCTCCAGAAGTTCTTTTATTGTACAGGATTGTTTTGGCTATCCTGGGGTTTTTTGCTTTTCCATATGAGCAATTGCTTCTATAAGTCAACTTTCTACTTTAAAGTTCCTTTTTTTCGTGCTGTGTCTCATTCATAAGCTCAGAATGTTTTTGTATAGTGAACAGGAATGAGCTGGGCAATGAGCTGCTTCTGATTATAGTGCTCCCTTAGGTCTGAAGCATGGAGCGATAAGGCATGCATAGCATGCCTGAATATTGATGCTGTGACATCTATTGTTTATGCTCATTCTCTTTTTCTATTTTAGTGTGGAAATTGGAGAAAGTGTACGTGGAGAGGATGTCTACATTGTTCAGAGTGGGTGTGGTGAGATAAATGACAATCTAATGGAACTTTTAATCATGATTAATGCTTGCAAGATTGCTTCAGCAAGCCGGGTTACTGCAGTCATCCCATGTTTCCCTTATGCCCGCCAGGATAAAAAGGATAAGGTATGAATGGATTTTTTTAAAAATAGTGTTGGTAATCAAACTTAGAGCTAAATGCTAGGCTAGCGTTCTACCACTGAGCTGTACCTTCAGTTCAGATCTTGTTTTTTTTTTGAGACAGTGTTTCTCTGTGTAACAGCCCTAGCTGTCCTGGAACTCACAGAGGTCTGCCTGCCTGTTTTGTGAGTACTGGGATTAAAGGTGTGCACTGCCACCACCTGGCTTCAGAATCCTTTTAACATAGGGACCTCCCTTGCTCTTGGATTGTTAGGATCAACATAGTAAAAATGGCAATTCTACCAAAGGCAATTTATAGATTCAATGCAATCCCCATCAAGGTCCCATCAAAATTCTTCACAGATCTTGAGAGGACAATAATCAACTTTATATGGAAAAACAAAAAACCCAGGATAGCCAAAACAATCCTATACAATAAAGGATCTTCTGGAGGCATTACCATCCCTGACTTCAAACTCTATTACAGAGCTACAGTGATGAAAACAGTGTGGTACTGGCATAAAAACAGAGAAGTCGACCAATGGAATCGTGTAAAGAGGAACATTGCTATCAGTTATATCAGAGCATTTAAAAATGATTTTTTTTTGAGACAGGGTTTTCTGTGTAGCTTTGGAGCCTGTCCCGGAACTCACAGGCATATAATTTATACTGTATATTTTATTTAAGTCATTTTAACTTTCATTCAGCTGACAGTTATTCATTGTTGTTAAGACTAATCAACAGCCAGGTGGTGTTGACAAACGCTTTTAAGTGCTCGGCTACTAACCTATATATCTTTTTCTATTTTGGTTTTTCGAGGTAGGGTTTCTCTAAGTAGCTTTGGAACCTGTCCTGGAACTTTGTTTGTTCACCAGGCTGTCCTTGAACTCACAGACCCACCTACCTCTGCCTCCCAAGTACTGGGATTAAAGGCAATGGATGCCCTGGCAACCTATTATCAGGTTAATCCTATCCCTTGCGAGGCAAAGGTAGGTAGATATCCGAGTTTGAGGCCTTCCTAGTCTACAGAGCCAGTTCTAGGACAGCCAGGGCTATGCAGAGAAACCCCTATCTCAAAAAAATGGGGGTAGAGGGAGAAACCTCAGAAAAAAACGGTTGGGTGAGGAAACATCCAGAAATGGTATATGCCTGTAATCCCAGCACTCAAAAGACTGAGGCAGCAGGGTCAAGACTTCTAAGCCAGTTTAGAAAAAGATCAACGGCCATTCTGCGTGAGTTTCTTGGTGATTTGATGTCTTTACAATATAGGTACTTGGTAAATGTTTCTCAAGCAAATGAACTGCTTTCATCTTGGCTTTTCTTTTTTCTTTTTTTCTTTACTTCTATTCAGAGCCGGGCTCCCATCTCAGCTAAGCTTGTTGCAAATATGCTATCTGTCGCAGGAGCGGATCATATTATCACCATGGATCTACATGCATCTCAAATTCAGGTACCAGTGGAAGGAAGCTAAGTACTGAAAGTTAGAAAGGTGGGAGGAGAGCCAGGCATGGTGGTGCACATCTGCATTCTAGAGACTGGAAGCTGAAGCTAGAAGTTAGTAAGACAGTTTAGTATTATGGCTAGGACATAGGCTTTAGGATTACAACTAGTCTGGATGCTTCTTAGACATACTAGCACATTAACTTCATAACCTTGGACAGGTTACTTCTGAGCATAATATATGTTCATTGTTATTGTTTTAAAATATTAATTCTGATATACTTGGCTGAAAACTGGTGTAGCTGATACAATGGTAGCTATTATGAAGATTATTTCCCTTGAGTAATCAGTCTTAAATTAGAGCTGCAGGCATTAAAGATTTTTCATAGAAACCCAGAGCAAGAGAAATCAATCGCCACATTTATTTTATGCTATCTAAAGAAGCTTTCTGCTACGAATGGTGGTACATATCTATAATCTTAGCTCCTGGAGGTCCAGCCAGGGAAACTGAATTCCAAACCAGCCTGTGCTGTAGCATAAACCCTGTTTGAAAGTATAAACTCTCAGCCGGGTGGTGGTAACACATTTAATCCCAGCATTTGGGAGGAAGAGGCAGCAGATCTCTGTGAGTCTGAGGCCAGCCTGGTCTACAAGAGCTAGTGCCAGGAAAGGCTCCAAAGCTACAGAGAAACCCTGTCTCGAAAAACAAAACAAAACAAACAAAAAGTATAAACTCTCGGCACTTACCATTTGAGTCTTCTGGCAATACAAGGAGGTTCATGAGACAGGAGTGTATACTCATCCTATAAAAAAAATAATTGAGGAGAAATACAACTGGTTTGTATCAACGAGAATTAAAATACCTATCTCCTGATTTCTGGTTATTCTGTATAATCATTCACTATAAGTAGTTGCTACCAAAAATATATATACCATACTGCTTCATCAGTTTGGCCAGCACAAACGCCAAGTGGCATAAAACAGTGTATATAAATTGTGAGTCTGAACATACTGGCTTGGCAATCCATAGACCTTGGCTGAACTTGACTGTTTACAGGGCTCATTTTTGTTCCTGTGATTAGGTGTGAGTTAGCTAAGGCCTGATATTGCTGATCTTGCCTAGAAAGGGGACTATTTTTAACCTTCCCAATACTTTGAATATTGTAGTAAGGTATTTTCCATGAACTTAATCGTTCCTTTTAAAATTTTGTGTGCGTGCATGTATATGTACACGGATGCACGCACGCTGTGTTGCATGTGGAGGTAAGAGAACAACTTACAGAACTTGTACCAAGTAGGTTCTCACGATCAGACTTGGGCTCCTTTCCTGCTCAGCCATCTCACCAGCCTTTTTTTAAATTATTGCATTGATTGATTGATTTCTGTTCTTGTATGTACATGTGTTGGAAGCATGTGTATGTAGAACTTTTAGTAGTCAGTTCTCCCCTGTGAGTCCCAGGGAGCAAAATCCTCAGGCCATCAATCAGACTTGACAGCAAGTACCTTAGATGAAACCTATCTGTGAATCCACTTTCTTTATATTAGCCTTTCATAAATGGAAGAGAAGAAAATGAAATAAATAAGCTAAACTTGACCCAGCTTCTTTTTCCAGGGCTTTTTTGATATCCCAGTGGACAATTTATATGCAGAGCCAGCTGTCTTAAAGTGGATAAGGGAGAATATATCTGAGTGGAGAAACTGTACTATTGTCTCACCTGATGCTGGTGGAGCCAAGAGGTATGTTTGTGATACTATTCTTCAAAAATAATGTGCTGCTAAAATCTTTCAGATGGTAATGTCCCTTATGATGGGGTTCTCCCATCGACGTGCCCTTTTCACAACTTCAGATTGGATATGCCAGCAGCTAGGACATGGGTTGGATATAGTTTCCACTCTATGCTAGCTTGAGTCATTTGGAAGGCAGGATAGACAGGGTCCTAAGTAGTCATTGCCATGACTGTTACATTAACATCAGTAACTTGGCACTGCAGAGTTAACACTGCTGTAACTTTATCAGGAAGGATAGGACATTTCTTGTGCAATCAGTTTATTCTTAAATTCCATATTGATGGGTAAGTAAGGTTTACAAAGCTGTTGGTTAGGCCATTTAAAGCCGGGACCCTAAATTTTTTAATTCAACTTATTGCCAAGGATTAGCAGTTATAGCTCAAATAATGTAAACTGAGAGCCTTGATTTCCTTAGTGGATTCCTTATAAAAATATGGCCCATATTCTTATTGTGGAAGTAGAGTGAAGGACTACAGGGCTCAGGTGAGTAGAAAAAACTAAGTTAGAACTTGCCAAAAGTGAAACAAATCATGAAAAATTCAAAAAGTTCAAATCTTTCTCAACCATCTCTTTAATCTCAGTAACTTCAGTGGAATTGATAAACTGGGAACTTGAGTTGTTTATTCAGGTGACAGTATAAAGACATCCCTATATAGGCAGGTCACACTTCATCTTAACTTCTTAAGCATCATCTTCACATCTTTCTTAGGAACTTAGAAAATAATTAATTTGAAATAATCAAACAGGTTTTTTAAAGTTTGATATTAGTTTGTAATTCTTTATTCTAATTACCTCATAGTGATGGAGGATTTTCCAGTTGAGTGTTGCTCACTTCTGTCTTGGCAGGGTTGGAGAGTAGGTAAGGGTACCAGTGTGGTTGTAATTTTCACAGTAGCTCTCCACTCAAGGGTGTACATGTTACTTTCCCAACTCTTTTCTGCTTTGATGGAGACTGAATGTTTTGGCCAGTAAGCATGAACAGTTCGGAACACTTGAGATGACCGGTCGTGCATTTTTCTTGGATGTCATAATTCTAAGTAAATTAGTTACCTCTGTTACATGCCTAAGCAGTAGTAATAGAGAGCACAAGGTATGGGTCCTTTAGATCCAGGTAGAAGCATTGCCTAGAGTTATGGTTCAAACCTCGTATGGTCAGAGGTTCTTGACCTGTTCAGCAAAAATTCTGTTCACAAAAGAAATAGGGCATAGTTCTAAAGTTTGATCAATATTACATTTAAAAACACTAAGTCTGAAGCATGAGTCTTTTCTTTGTGACAACGATTACACACTGGTGTGTGGGCACACATCATAGGGGTAGGGTAGCCTATTGTCATTTGCACTGAGTGACTTTCTCCTTGAGTGAATGTGTTGTATCTCGTTGTCAGTGTCTTCTAACCAGGCTTTTAATGTGGCTTATATTATCTTTAAGATTTGGGCTGTAGTAACATGCCCTGTTTGTCTGGTTAATTGGTTTAATTTTCTTTCTAGTACTTGTAGAAGGAATACCAAGCTTGGTGACCAGGTAAAGTTGCTATTTACCATTGGTAGTGTTTCATCACCATCATGGGAGAGATGAGTGTATGGACATGCATTGAAAGGGTGGACGCTGCTCCACTCCTAGCTTCAGATTCACGTATCACTGTTTGTTTCTAGAATCACAAGTCTTCCATGATGGGATTGGGACAATCTATGTACTCCTGCACTAGCTAATAAGGTCTCTCTTTCCTTCTGCCTTCAATCTGTTAAACTAATGTACCTTGCATATACTGCTTCCCAGGATTGGTGAAGGGTATGTCTACCCCATCCCCAGAATGAATGGTATAAGTTTGATATTCCTTTTTTTTTAAATTTATTTATTATGTATACAATATTCTGTCTGTATGCCTGAAGGCCAGAAGAGGGCGCCAGACCTCTTTACAGATGGTTGTGAGCCACCATGTGGTTGCTGGGAATTGAGCTCAGGACCTTTGGAAGAGCAGGCAATGCTCTTAACCACTGAGCCATCTCTCCAGCCCCCAAGTTTGATATTCCTATACTGCCATTGATATTACAGAGGCATTAATCCATAAAATCCAGTTTGTAATGCTTGTTTTTTCAGATGTCAATGATTGTTGCTTTCTTTTAGCTCTGGGATCTGTTTTAGTTTCAAGGACTATTCTCCACTAGGAAAAAAAATATTTTCTATAAGTGGATAAGAGAAATGGAACCCAGGGCCTCACGCATGCTAGACAGAGCGGTCTACCACTGAACTACACTTCCGGCATTGGAAGCCACATATGCATCATTAACTCTGGACCTCTATCTTACAGAGTGACCTCCATTGCAGACCGATTGAATGTGGATTTTGCCTTGATTCACAAGGAACGGAAGAAGGCCAATGAAGTGGACCGCATGGTGCTAGTAGGAGATGTGAAGGATAGGGTGGCTATCCTTGTGGATGACATGGCTGACACTTGTGGTACAATCTGTCATGCCGCTGACAAGTGAGTGCAGGGCGTTGTGCTAGTAGTTGAAGGAAGAAGCTAACTACTGCTTTGCTGATTTTCTTTTGAAATACAACTGAGCGGGTAAATAGCTTTGGGATATTTTGATCATGTTAGCTTTTAATACATACAGGTGAATAAGTATTCCTTATTTCAGATTTTTAGTTTTTATAAAGAGACACTGCTTTTATATTAAGTATATCCTTACTATCAAAAGTCAAGTCTATCACATAAACTATCTTCCAAAGTCCTTTCTTAGTAATATAATCTACCACAGATTGGGTTGTTTCCCTTATGACGTGGCTGACTGGGAGCTGTGGTGAGTCAGTATTTGGATCACACGTTGCTAGATCACGGAAAGGTCCAAATTCCACATCTAGTTTTTACTGAAAATATATTATGTTTGCCATTATAAAACCTAAAGTCATTAAATTCAAGCATAGTCAAAACAACTTCTAGATGCTAAATTTGCCCTTTAACCATCCAATCAGCAACATTAATTATATTTACATTATTATACACTGTTGACTTTTGTTTTGATGAGTTAGAAATCCATAGATGTCCTTTACATATATTTATTCATTTTGTATGTGTGTATACATGCACATGCCATGGCAAGCATGTAGAAGTCAGAGGACAACTTTAGGAATGGTTCTCTTCTTCTGCCCTGAGGGTCCCAGGGATCAAATTCAGGTCAGCAGGCTGGGCAGCAAGCACAGTCAAATGCGAATATTCCTGGTTAAGCTTATTTTCAGGGTCATAGATTCTCAGTCTTGTGGTACCATATCTTTATCGTGTAGTTTTCCAGATAACATTGAAGGACATTTCTCTTTTTACCAGCCAAAAAGGAAAAGAACGCAGATTACCCCTTGAAATTTTGTAAGTTCTGCTGATATAATAAGGCTTAGTGCAGACTTCTCTCCTTGATATGGCCAGTATGTGTCCCCCTAAAATTAATATGTTAACTTCTTGCCCTAGGTGTGGTTTTGCAGATTACCGTTGGGGGTGGCACTTAGGCTTAAATAATGAGATCTTGGGAATAGGATCCTCATGTTATAATTAGTGACCTTATTAGAAGAAAATGCTTGATACACTATCCTTACATGTGTTTTATGTGAACCCACAAAATGGTACATACTATCAACCTGGGCAAAAATTGTTTCAAAATGAAACCTACCTTGTCAGATTCCAGACCTGTGAAAGATAAGTTTGTGCTTAAACTACTTAAGCTACTGTTCTGCTATGACAGACTAGTATTCTTCTTTAGAATTTGGATTCTGTAGTTGCATGTCAGATTAATCAGCTTTTTTCCTCTAGACTTCTCTCAGCTGGAGCTACCAGAGTTTATGCTATCCTGACTCATGGAATCTTTTCTGGCCCAGCCATTTCCCGTATCAACAACGCATGCTTTGAAGCAGTAGTAGTCACCAATACCATACCTCAGGAGGATAAGATGAAACACTGCTCCAAAATACAGGTGAATGGGGTTAATCCAGAAGAAATTTCCTTTAGTGCTTTGCAGGTAGTAGCATGTTAGGTCAGATGTGTGAATAGTGAAGCTTAAGTTCTTTGGGTTTATCTGTTATTGTTTGTTCTGGGAATGGAACCCAGAGTCTTGCTCCTGTAGGTGAGGACTAAGCCACTGGATTTCTGAAGCCATCCTCTGTTCTTTTTTCTTTTGGCATTGAGAATGGACCCAGAGCCCTACTTTCTTTGGACTTTTTTAAGGTATACTCTCATTAAGTTGCCCAGACTGGCCTTGAATTCACTCTGTAGCCCAGGCAGGCCTCGATTTGAAATCATTTTTGCTTCAGTCTCCCAAGAAGCTAAGGGCCTGGCTTCCTTCTTTGTTTTTGTTTGTTGTTTTGTTTTGTGTTTTTTTTAAGGTAAGGTCTACCTACCTATGCCTCCCGAGTGCTAGGATCAAGGGTGTATCTGACTGCACCCAGCATTGTGTACTTTTTTACATTTTTTAGTTTGTCTGTGTTTGCTTATGTGACTTTCAGAGGCTTAAGATGACATTGAATCCCTGGGCCTGGAGCTAAAGGTGGGTTTTGAGCTTCCCTCTGAAGACTCAGGTCCTCTGCAAACGCTCTTAAGCACTCTTTTTTAAAAAAATGAGCCATCTCTCCAGCATCTTTGAATTTTGTCTTTTGCTTTTTTTAAACAGAGCACATTGTTGACTGGGGCGACCTAAGACTCATTGCAGTTCTCTTGCCCCAGCCTCCCAAATACTATGATTACAGGCATATTCATTCTTGTTAGTGTTTTCTGTTTTGGATTTTTGTTTTGTTTTTCAAGACAACATTTCTCTATGAAGCCATGGCTGTCCTAGAACTCACTGTGTAATCCAGGCTGGCCTCAAACTCACAGATATCTGCCTGCCTCTGCCTCCTGAGTGCTGGGATTAAAGGCATGTCACACCACTGCCTGGCTAATTTTATTAATTCATTCATTTATTGTGTGTGCAGGTTATTACAGAGGACTAAAAGAGGGCATCAGATTCCCTGGAGCTAGAGTTACAGGTGGTTTTAAGCTACACAGATTGTATTGAGAATTGAACTCTAATCTTCTAGAAGAATATTGAGTGCTCTTGATTGCTATCTCTTCAGGTGCTATACACTCATACCTGGACTACATATACAGCGTCAATGTCTTGATGATCTTGTATTTGTCCCATTATTACTAGCATCTTAACTCTTTCTAAGTAATTATAGTGAAAAAGGAAGGCCCGAGTGCTAGATTCTTAGTAAGGGTGCTTTCTAGGCTGCAGATGGACCAGCAAACTCTGTCCCTGCATACTAACCTGGTACATTTCTTGCCTTTGTAGGTGATTGACATCTCCATGATCCTTGCAGAAGCCATCAGAAGAACCCACAATGGTGAATCTGTCTCCTACCTGTTCAGCCATGTTCCTTTATAACAGAATAACTTCTGAAGCTTTTTGAAAATAAACCAACCCCATCCCTCACATTTCTTGGTATTTGAGTTCAGCGGAAGACCCAGCTTGCTCCAGTGTAGATGTTTACATCCCATATTAGCTACATTAGAATTTAGCCTAAATTGGAAAAAGACAGATTGTGGTTAACTGCTAGGATGTCCTACTTGTGTTGTTTCATCCTGACTTGCTTGTTTATTTTGTGATCCTTGCAGCTTTAACTAGAGGTCAGCTGCTGAAAGATGTATAGACTATTGAGAATATTCCACAAGGTCCATAGGACATAATTGACAGAGCTCATACTCTATTTCTCGGGAATGCTTTGGGGTTTTTCTTCATAGCAACAAAGTCAGCCCATATGTGATACATTTTCAGAGTTTTGTGCTAAACTATAGCAAGAGCCCTGAGCATCCTTAAACATAGTTCCAGTAGTTGAGCACCCTGTTAGGCAGGGGCAGTAGCTCAATGCAGTAATTAACCTTTGGGAGGAAGAAGCCTGATCCATTGCTATCTGTTTAACTCTATAGCTTGAATTCTCTATACCTGTTCCTTTCCTTTTGGCTTTACCTTCAGCCATTTTGACCTTTTCCTAGCCAAAAATATCTTGGACTCAGTTATCATTGTACTTGTACCATAATCTCGTGTAAAGAGACTTGCTTCTTGCTATGTAGCTGCTAACTTTCTCGTTAGATACCTTGCTGTAGTGTAGTCTTCCCTAGCCTATTACCACTGTGGCGGTAGCTTTGAGGTGGTGTCTTAGTGCCTTTGATTAATTTAAGTATTTAATTTTCATCTTCCTTGAATCCATTTGGTCTCTCAATTGAACAGATTTCTGCTAAACAATTTGGTGTTATATATATATATAGTCTCTTGTTGAGAACTTAATAAAATGTCTGTAATGTATGCAACTTGATCTGTGTCACATCTACTGATTTCTCTGCAGAAAGTTTGTCTTTGGTGTCTCCCTGTCCAATGTATCTCTTATTTTTTTCCAAGACATTTTAAGCAAAGCAACAATGGAAAGACTTTAAGATATTTGAAGTTTGCTGAGAATTAGAAGCAATCTAATTCTGTGCGGTGTATCTAAACTATATGATGCATAATGCCTCTGGGTTTCTGCCACTTATTCCTGGGGATCCAAATTCTTATTCCTTTTGAACCAATTTTGCCTCCTACATCAGTGTTTGGCATTTAAGTTCAGCCCTTCAAAGTAAACTTGTGATTGTAAGCATGTACAATTTCAACATAAATTATGATGCATTCCAAGATTTTTAAGTGGGTTTCTTTGTGTGTGACTACATAAGAATGTGTGTTTTCTTTGACATTCTTAGTGATTTTAGAGTTGGAGAATGCTCCTTTCTGAGACAGGATTTCTCTGTGTAACCCTAGCTGTCCTGGAACTCCTCTAGACCAGGCTAGCCTGAAATTCAGAGATCTGCCCGCCTCTACCTCCCGAGTCCTGTGCCATCACTGCCTAGGTAGGTCTTTTGTTCTTTTAAACCTGGATCGTGTTTTTATTTTATTATGCTTCCGTTGATTATGGGGATAGCTGTAATACAGTTAAACTTTTCACAAAAGTGATTCCAGAGGGATTAGAGTAAGCTATGATTTTTTTTTTCTGGAAGAAGCTGAGGGAGCTAATTATGCTACTTCCTGAAGGATTGAATCAGTGCGTCAAGGTTCATCATTTCAGAATACAGTAGTTACTTATCTATAGATAATAATATTGTAAGAACCATATTGGCTACCTGGAACCATTAGGTATTATATAACCATATTATATAGCAAGTTTTTCCTATACAGGCTTACCTGTGATAGTTTTGTCTATAAGCTATGCACTGTAAGACAACAACAAAACTGAGCAATTATAGCTCCATTAATAAAATTGTCAGCATCACTATTGTGCCTTGGGGTCATTAAGTGAAGTAATGGACAGCTGATGTGATAACTAAAGACTAATAGGCTGTTAGTTAGCATATATAGTGTGGCTATGCAGGGCAAAAGGATGGTTAAGCCCAAGGCAGGATTGTGCAGTAGCATTAGGTCTCATGTGACACAACTTAAAGTTGTTTTATTTCTGGGTTTCACTCTAAGACCCAGACTGGAACTCTAATAGCTAGGGTGAGGCTTTGAGGTCATTCTTTAACTTTGAACTATACCTAGAGCAAGGCAACTGCCTGTGACATTAAGGAAAGTGCCATAAGCAAACGCCTACAGTGGGAGAACCTCTAATGTCTTAAACATTGGTTTGTTGTGTTTTATTTATTTTTGAGATAGAGTCACCTATCTGGCCTCTAATCGAGGTCTTCCTGCCTCTACCTCATGAATGCTGGGATTAAAGGCGGGTGCCACTCATGTTTTTTCCCATTTATTTTAAAAATGCATTTATTTAGTCTGAATGTGGCGATCACAGAACAACTTGGAGGAATTTTTAAACCATTTGGCTCTCGGGCATCATCTGCAGCAGGTGCCTATAGGCACTAAATCATGGAACCAGACCCAGCAACCATTGAGTGGTGGGAGGAGGGTTGTGTCATCGTGTTTGAGGCAAGGTCTCACTGTGTAACCCTGGCTGGCCTGGGACAGGCTAGTTGCAAACTTGGAGGTCTGCTTCTTGAGTGCTGGCATTAAACATGAGTCCATACTTGGCTCCCAACAGTAAATATTTTAGTCTGTTTTGTTTTTAATGATACTTTCTGATCAGTGGACTTTTCTAGCATGTGGGTCCTGGGCATCAAACTATGTCATCAGGCTCTGGAGGCTGGGCCATCTGACTGGCCCTCTAAGGTTTTTTGACAGCTTGTCAAGCCAATGCTTCCATAAGACTGGATGAGCCCGTCTCCACTTTCCACATCTGGAGAAGTGTTTTCTGCTGGAGACAAGGGTGTAGTGCATGCCTGGTCTTGAGACTGGAGCAAGGAGGTCACCATGAATATGAGTCAAGTGTATCTCGGGCCACATAGTGAGCATCTTAGAAAAAAAGGGGTTTTCCGACTAAAAGTGTTAGGGACAATTCATAGTACATGACTCTTAAAACTGAAGGTTATTATGAAAAACCTGGAATTGAGTTTTTGAAAAACATCTCTATTGTCCTTCAGAAGAGAATCTAGTGATAGGTGCTTTCCACAAAATGAAAAATAAGTAAATGACAAGGGAGAGCTTGCTGTTCTGAAAGACTCACTTTAATTGCCCCCAGGCTTTTTGCAACCCGCACACAATAGGACCTAAAGAGGTCTGGGTACAAGAGGGCCATGTGTCTTTGGAGTCCTTCAGGGCACCATCTGTGGTAAGAAGCCACCTTAGTCATCTCCCCTGACCTCTTGTAAATTGAAATGGGAGACAAAACAGCTACATGCAGGCACACACCCTCAAGTTAAATCCCTGTTCCATTTACAAGCCAAGAGTTGACCAGTCTTGTACCTGTTAGGATTTCACTAGTGTCTCCCAACTGCTGGCCCTGCTTCTTGCAACTCAGTGTCACCCTGGCCCTGGACACAGCTTCTTCAAACAAGGGCTCTTTGTTGATCTGCCTGCCTCTGTGGATCCCTCCTGAGTAGTGGTATTAAAGGCCTGTGCCACCACAGTTGACTTTAGATAGCATTTATGTGTATTTGTATGTAAAAGTTTGCTTACTTAGAAACAGGTACCCTTGGAGGCCACAGAGGGCATCAGATCACCTGGAGTTGGGAGTTGCGGGTTCCAAGAGCAGTAAGCATCTTAATGGCTAAGCCACCCTCTATTCCACTGTCCATGTCAGGTAAAAAGCATGATACTCAACGGAATCTTGTTAAGGTAAATCTTTTTAGAATCTGTTTGGGATACACACGCTTCAGTAGTTTTCCATCTTTTTTTGTTTGTTTGGTTGGTTGTTTGGTTTGGTTTTTTGAGACAAGCTTTCTCTGTAGCCTTAGAGGCTGCCCTGGAATTAGCCTTTGTAGACCAGGCTAAAGATGATCTTTTAGGGCTGACAAGATAGCTCACCAGATACAGGTGCCTGCTCCCAAGCTTTCTTGTGCCCATAAAATCTTCGGCCTGAATCCCAGGACCTGTTTTTGCTTAGTGCTTGGGACGAGCCACTAACTCAGGCAAATATTTTCTTTTTTCTTTTGACGTTTTTGAGACAGGGTTTCTCTGTGTAGCCCTGACTGTCCTGGAACTCACTCTGTAGACCAGACTGGCTTTTAACTCACGGAGATCCGCCTGCCTCTGCCCCCTGAGTTCTGGGGTTAAAGGCGTGCGCCACTGCTGCCCAGCCATACAAATATTATATATCTTGTTTTAAAATTACATTTATAGCCAGGTGGTGGTGGCTCACGCCTTTAATCCCAGCACTCGGGAGGCAGAGGCAGGTGGATCTCTGAGTTCGAGGCCAGCCTGGTCTACAAGAGTTAGTTCCAGGACAGGCTCTAAAATTACAGCGAAACCCTGTCTCAAAAAACTAAAAAAAAAATTATATTTATATAGTAGCAGGGCAGGAATACATACCAATCTGCAGGAGACAGGTCCTTCTACTCTGTAGGTCCTGGGGATTGAGCTCAGGTGATCGGGCTTGGCATGAAGTGCCTGTATTTGAGCTGTTTTGCCAGCCCATGCTTTATATCTTTTAACCTCATCTCATTTCCTCCCCATTACCCTATCCCCAGCAAACTGTTTTATTCTCTGCCTCTGGGTATTTTCATTTTAGAGTCCACACATAAATGATCTATCTGTATGTATCTTTCTCCACTTCTATACTGTCCTCTAGGTCCATGCTACGGCAGGGTCTCCTGTTTTTACTATAACTGAACAATACCCCTTTATGTATATTTACCACATCCTCTACCCATTTGTCTGCCATACGTACCTAGCTCCTTTCCATTTTTATTGTTTCGTTTTGCGATAGGGTCTCGGAGCATAGGCTGGCCTAAAGCTTGCTATGTAGCTTTAGTATCTTGATAGTCCTACAGCTGCCGGACGCTAAAGTCACAGCTATGTACCACCACACCTGACTGAAGCATTTTCTTTTCCAGCACCACCCCTGCCTGCTGCCATGCTCTCTACCATGATGATGACAGTGGCCTAAGATTCTGAAACTGTAAGCAAGACCCAAATGCTTTCTTTTATAGGAATTACCTTGATCATGTTGTCTCTTCACAGCAATAGAACAGTGACCAAGACACTTCCCCCATGCACCTTGTGCTTGCCAAGAATTCACTCACATCTTGCTGTTTG